AAGGGAAGGGAAGCACCCATGTGGTATCTGGACATGGTCCTGCTGCCCCCAGGCTTAGCACTCAAGAGGGGATTCCTTTGCAGAAATAAAATACCAGTTGAAATCAGATTTCAATTCTCCAAGAGGACTGGTTTAATAAAAACCTCACAGAGAGGAAGCAGAAAAAACAGTGATTCAGTGCCCAGGAGAAGGAGAAAATAAAAAAATAAATTATTAAAGAGAAATGAAGTAGAAGAGGAAAACAAGGAGATGAGTCAATAAGAATTAAAAGCAAATGTTACCACACGCCCCCCCCCCATAAATACAAATATCTAAAATCTGTGTGTATACTACACAAAAGAATATGCTTATATATTTCTTAATTCTCACTTTTCAAATTTGTAAAATGACTTTAAAACAGATCTCAGTTTCATGTTATTCTTTACATTTTTTACAGCTACCACAATCACACTTGGCATGACAGGATTATGTAAAGTCATCCGTGAGAAGACAACGGAGTGAAAACCCCATATTGAACCCTAAGGAACAGTTCTCCTCTGTACACATGGGGTCTCCATGAGTCAGAATCAACTCTATGGCAACTATCGACAACAACATTGAACAGAAAGTTTTCTAAAAACATTCAGGTTGCTGTAAGGATTAAAAGGAAAAAAAATTGTTATACCTTTACCTATGAAAGTCTAAATGACTCAGAGATTAATAGGATACAAAAGGTGTACCCCTCAATCACTGATTCTAGGGTGACTAGTAGATAGTCATTTTAGGATATTAACCATCCTAGCAGCTGTTTTGCTCACAATCTGTAGAAATGTTGCTTGCCTCTATTAATACCCTTTGACAGGTGTGTACATTCCAATTTATATTCATCTGCCAATTCGTAGCACTTTTAAGCAGAGTGGTGAAAGCCACAGCGGCTGTTACCTTAGAAAGCCCCTTACAGTGCCCAACTCTCTCCTTTCTTCATCTAATGTACAAAATAGCAATACTTTGTATTTGTAACAGATTTTCCTACCTAAAACCAAAATCACAAAGATATCTGTGGAGAATTTCTGAAATGTCTGCAATATCACTCTATGAAACAAAGAAGGCAGCAGATAATCTTCCTTTCTAGGAAACTGCAATAAAGGTCAAATCAGATAAGAAGGTCCACAAAGTCTTAAAAGCTTGCAAGTGGCCACCTAAGATGCATCAATTGGTCCCAACCACCTGGAATAAAGGAGAATGAATAACACCAAAGACACAAGGAAAGTATTAGCCCAAGAGACAGAAAGGGCTACATAAACCAGAGACTTCATCAGCCTGAGACCAGAAAAACTAGATGGTGCCCGGCTACCACCAATGACCACCCTGACAGGGAACACAACAGAGGGTCCCTGATGGAGCAGGAGAAAGGTGGGGGGCAGAACTCAAATTCTAGTAAGATCAGACTTAATGGTCTGAGACTGGAGGAACCCCAGAAAGCATGGCCCCTGGATTCTCTATCAACCCAGAACTAAAACAATTTCCGAGGCCAACTCTTCAGACAGGGATTGGACTGGACTGTGGGACATAAAGTGATACTTGTGAGGAGTGTGCCTCTTAGCTCAAGTGGATACTAAATGGGCAGCTTCTGTCCGGAGGTGAGATGGGCAGGCAGAGAGGGTTAGGAGCTGACTGAATGGACATGCAGAATCAGGGTGGAAAGAAGGAATGTGCTGTTACAGTATGGGGAGAGCAATTAGAGTCACATAACAATGTATGTATAAATTTTTGTACGGGGGAAAAAAAATAAAAAGCAGGTCAGAAAACAAAAACAAAAACAAAAAAAAGAAGGTCCACATTTATGAGGGTTCAGTGACCCATAGGCGATTGCAGATATCACTGGGACTGTGTGCTTTAGCTATATTCACATATGCAACATAGGTCGCTGGGAAATGTGCTTCTAAAATTTATACCAAGGATTTATTTACTAAGGCTATATAAGCTAATGTAACTTCCAGTGTCCGTCCTGGTACTCTATAGCCTCTAAGTCAACACTTGCTATCACAGCAAAGAGGTATAATCTATCAGTTCAAACTTTTGCCAAGGCAATCAGAAACTGGATGGTACCTTTTGCACTGGAAAGTCATTTCACTAAGAAGGGTTGGTTCCTCGAAGCCACAGTCACATCAATAACTGGAGAAGGAAGAATTATGTTTTGAAAAATAAAACTATTGTTTTTAAACCACAGTACAGAGGTATTAATTCACTAACAAATGCTGCTATGCCTGTACTTAAATACTGATGACACCTACCCAATGGCCTTTGCCACACATTCAGTCCATGGCACTAATGGAAGGAGACTTATTATTCACAAATCCTGTCTTCCAACTTAATATCGTCTTTCAAAGAAATCAGCAGCATCTCTTTTTAGAAGAATTTATTTCAACCAGGCAATATTCCAATTCACATTTAATATGCATTTTTAAAGCTTGCATAAAATGCTTAATTGGGACTCTGCTTTATTTTCTTAAATGATGTTAAATAATCACCAAGTATCTGGCACAAACTCAAAACAAATAGTAAACAAACAAACAAAAAACTCACTAATACCTCTTTATTTCAAATATATCGTTTTATTTTAAAAGGTCTCAAAAGCCCTGCAACTTCAGGCTTGACAGATTTACTTTTGTCAAACCTAAGAAACCTTCTAAAAAATAAAGCACTAACTATTCCCTTTTGAACTGGTTCAGTAAGGCAGCAAAACCACCATGCAGCTTGATTTTGTTTTGCTTTAGAACTGGTGGGTTATGACAGCTCATAGTCTGCAATTACATTTCACTGAAGAAACTGAGGCACAGAGAGGTTAAATGACATGGGAACACATGCAAGCAGGAAAGGAGATGGCAAGTGGAGTGGGGTGGGGGCAAGACTCAACTTCACAATGGGTGGTCAGAAAAGCCCACATGGGTGACATCTGAATACAGAACTGAAGGGAGGAGGGGAAGGGGACATCCAGGGGATATTGCAGGAATAGGGAACAGCAAGTGCAAAAGCCCTGAGGTAGAAACATGCCCATATGAATGACTCATCTTTTTTTGTTACTATTTTAAATAGTGTATATTTTTCTTTATTAGAGTTTCTGTCAAATAATTTGGAAGAAGGCCAGGAACAGACAAACATAAATCCTGCAGCTAAGCTTTAGATACTGTTAGTTCAGAGGCGTTTGTAGTGGTTATGCATTGAAGTGACCACTTGACTCACGTCACCCCCCCCCCCGTTCCTTCTCTTCTCCATTAGAGATCAAAATATTGACTGCCTAAAACTATCTTGGTTTAAATAAAAATGTTTTAGGGAAAAGGCCCACTTTAAGAAAAGCAAATTGCAGGGCAGGGTACCCCAACCCACGATGACTACCTCCCCTGAACTTCTAAAATCACCTTATTTGTATCCAGCATTTGACCTTAAGTGCTACCTAGCATGGTTATTGTGTTTACATCTCATCATAGGCTACTTTGTATTGTTCTTGTGTACACATCCCCTCTCACAGTGGTTTCCTTGGAGTAGGGCCCATGTGGTGGTAATGTCTGAATACCACCACAGGGCTTTGCACAATGAAGATACCAATAAATATTTGTTTGATGGTGACGTCATAAAAACTACCACAATGAGCAGCAGACATTCCTCCTGTTTTAACTAAGAATCAGTAAGTATAAGTTTGTGGATAAGGCATGAAAGAGACATCACAGTCTCTCACAAGCGTTTGGATAATTTCAAGTTTTTTAGCCAAATTACTGTTTGTGTAACACTCCACTCTAAGTTTCCTTTGCGTTTTCAGTTGGGCACAGTACACGCTTTCAGTCTAGACCCAGGCATGGATTAGCCACAAAATACTGAGGAAGAGTGCTGGGTATATCCCTGTTCAGTTGCCTTTAGTCAATCTTACTAAACACGTACTACGTGAAAGGTACTCAACATCAAACTACCAGAAAAGGGAATTATGAGACAGTGTCCCCACAGTCTAGCAAGACAGACAGACATATAAGGAACAACTCCAGTGCACATAAAATACATAGAAGTATTCTGAAAGTACGTAAGCAGTGGCCTGGGGAGCAAGGGGTGGGGTCTGAGGTAAAGCTACACAGAAGAGCTGGCACCTGAACAGACAGGATTTTGAAAGAGGAATAGGCCTAGGACAATCAGACATGGGATCAAAGGCCATTTCAGATTGTGCAAAACACTGGCAGAGACGTAACAGATGGAATGCATTCACCGTAAGTGAAGGAAGGCTGGTCTTACTGCACTCTTAAACTTTCCAAGAAAAGAAAAAAAACTTTCAAATAGGAGGCTGAGGAAAAAAACTTTCACTAGCCACCAACGCTTGTTTTGTTAAATCTCTTAGGTTCACTTTGCTTTGTTTTGCTCTATTTTGTTTCCCTGTTAAAATAAATAAATAAATAAAGTACTGTGCTGGCTTACAACTTCAGAGAAGAAAAGTACTTCAACTTTACTGTGGAAAAAGAAACTGAACAGTGGGCCAAGGAAAAAATCAATCAAAAAAAAAAAAGTACCCTCTCCTGGAATAAATAAATGGTGCAAAATAAAACTGCGGATATCATGGATCTGAAATATAAATTTCAACCCTCCACCAACTCAATAAATATTTACTATATGCCCACTATTTGTTAGTCTCTAAGATAACACACCAATGAGGCACTCTCATTGCTCTCCTTTTGAGTAAGCTCGTTTGCAAATCTACTAAAGGAAATAAGTAGAGGACAATCATTGTACCCTGTTCCTTCCACCGCGCCAACCAAAGCCTGAAGCTACAAGAAGTTAAATTCCAGTCAAGAGAACCAGTGAGGACAAAACACACTTAAGTAATAACTATTACAACAACCACAACTGAATTGTGAGAAACCGACAGACGTCCACAGTAAGGGTGTCTCAACATCTCTTCCTGTGGGCAGGGAGCTCTCAAGAAGGATTTTCTTTCCAGCGATTTGGGATGGCAAATGAGGAACAGAAGGGGGTGAAGTTACCTGGGAGCTCAGGTAGACTCTGAGGCACTCCTCGCACACGGCCTTCTTGCAGCAGGGCAAGGGCTTGATGGGCTTGTCTTCCAGGCACACCCGGCACATCAGCACCATGATGGGCGCAAAGGAATCCCCTACCCCGCCCAGGCCAGAGTAGGGTGGAGCTCCCAATAGGCTGGGCACGGAGAATGGTTCGGATGCCAGGTAGAACTCCAGCTCGATGCTGCCGCCGTCGGGGGAGAGGGGATCGGTTGGAATGGACAGCCGGGGGCTAGGGAAGGAGGAGAGGGGGCTGGAAGGACTAGGCACCGGCGCTGGAGCCCGAGGTGGCGACGCGGATGGCGAGAGCTGCTCGGTAGTGGGGGCCTCCGGCAGGTCGTTCTCCACGCAGTACACCGAACAGAAGACGTGTCTCTTGGCTGGCGGTGGATGCCGCTGGCCCAGCACGTCCAGCACCAGCCCGTCGGGGAGCCCGGCGCGGATCCTGGGCTCTGGCTCCTCGCTTGGGGGCGCCTCATGCTGTTCATCCTCTCCCTCTGTTCGGTCCCCAGCTTCCTCCTCCTCCTCCAACTGCTGCTGCAAACTCTGGGGGTTAAGGGGCCCGGTGAGTGCCAGTCCCGCGGGCTGCCACGCTGCTTGGCTCTTCCTGCAGCCGGGAGCCCCCCGGCTCCTCGCGGGCTCCGGAGCGCTCGTGTCCGTGCAGCCCGAGTTGCTTCCGCAGCCGCTGCCGCTCGGCTCCGCGGAGTCAGCGCGCAACCTGGGTGCCCCGGCGCTGTCCCCCCGCGGTCGTGGGGGCTCGGGGTGCCCCGCGGCATCGCCAGCGGAGACCCG